TTTTGTGTCTCTTTGTGGTTACTTTGTGTGTCTTTGTGTTCGTTTTGTGTCTCTTTGTGGTCATTTTGTGTCTCTTTGTGGTTACTTTGTGTGTCTTTGTGGTCATTTTGTGTCTCGTTGTGGTTACTTTGTGTGTCTTTGTGGTTGTTTTGTGTCTCCTCGTCATATTGTGTCTCTTTGTGGTCATTTTGTGTCTCTTGGGATCATCTTTTGTCTCTTTGTGGTCATTTTGTTTTTCTTCGGGGTTGTGTTGATTGTGTTCTTCATCGTTTTGTCTCATTTTCTTTTTTTTGTGTCCTTGTTTTGGTCATTTTGTGTGTCTTTTTGTTTGTTTTTTGTTGCTTATTGGCGATGTTGTGTCGATTTGTTGTGCATCTCTGTGGTCAGTTTGTGTCTCTTTGAGGTTGTTTTGTTCGTTTGTGATTATTTTGTGTCTCCCAGTTCATATTGTGTCCCTTTTTAGTGGCTGTATTGCGTCTCTTTGAGGTTGTTTTGTGGTTTTTTTTGTGGTCATTTTGTGTCTCTCTCTGGTCATTTTGGGACAGATCTAAAGACATAAGCCAGTGGGTTGAAGTATAATTGAAACTGTAGGGCTTGTAGGGAGTTTTTAGTCACGATGGAGGGACGACCTACTGGCAGTGGTCTGAGGGCAGATAAACCATGAGCCCAATGGGGCAAGTCTGAGATGTAGTGGTTCTTCACAACTTCCAGGACTTAAAGAATGCTGCTTTAAATGTCTATTGCCTGATAGCACAGGGCAGCGTCAGAGATCTTGTAGAGTCCATGCCTCAGCTGGTCCCAGTTGTTCAAGGTGGTATATGCAAGCACCAACTGCATTAAGCCAGGAGTCGTCATGACATTTCAGCTCATCTGTTGTTGATCTCCATGATGAAGATGTGTGGAACCTTGGTAGCCTTTTAATTCCAAATGAACAACAAACTGAGACAACGCAAACAAAACATTCACTATGAAAACCACGAACATCTCCTTTGTGAAGTCATTTTCTTAATCTTTAACAAAGCAAGGAATCATTTAGAGATTTAAATCGTTAGCTAGGAAGTGAGTCCTGCTGGGTTAAATCAGCTAATGTTATACGTCTGGTACCGCTTTTGCATCCAGACTGTGGAGTTTGGAATGTTATTTTTTTTTTTCTCTAAGCCTGTGTAATAACCAATTTCAGACAGAATAACCTCCACATTTACACAGACATCCTTCATCTGTTGAAGTGGTGACTGCCAACCCAAACATCTGTGCTTCCACCGACAGTGTAAACGTGTTCAGTTCCACTCCGCCACCGCAGTAATGGTGGCAGAGCTTTAGAGCGCATAACATAATCAGCTGCCAGATTCATCTATAGTGCCTTGTATCAGCCCATCACTCATCAGTTGGCAGTTACCGGTGCACACATTTACAGATTTAAGAAGTGCCTGTCAGATTGTTAGTGAGCATGGTAAGCAATTAATGATAAATCCAACCTCTGAGCGACTGGAGTTGCTATTATATTTCTCCTTTTTGTGAAGGCGTAAACACTCCCATCATTATGTGCATTGTTTTATCTACCAGTAATTTGGCAGCGTGTAGGCAGGAATGAAGAAAGAAAATGACATACAAATGTGTTCCTAGCAGCACTCCCTTTTCTGCAGAAAAAAACAAAACAAAACAAAAAACAACACCTGAAAAAGTCGGATCATTTTCATCCAACATACAACAGATGATGCCAATTTCTGAAATTCTTCTTAAGCTGTACAGCACGTACTGATGTTATATACAAACAAATTCTGCAAGTGCTCAGCAGACAGTGAAACAGCCGCTGTGATTTTTTTTTTCTGGGCTATAGGGACAAACAAAAAACAGAGAAGCCTTGAGGGAATTTTCAGGCCTAAAAATACAGTCAATCTAATTGAAAAGGACCTATAGAGATCTCTCAAGTGGAAAATTGAACCAACATTTCTCATTTGCAAATGAATGCCTTGTGTTCAAATACAACTCATTTGGATGGAACATAACTTCTGTTGAGTCAGTTACTAATTCAGTGTCAATGGACCTACGCTGCAAATGTCACATTAAGTCTTGATGCAATCTTTCCCTGCACAGAGAAGCATTTCTCTCTGCAGACAGTGACTCAACTATCTAAAATCATTGGACGAGCACAACGAAAATTTTTGCTTTGGGCTGGATTTTCCCTTCACAACATGAAAAACTAGAGAAATCAAAGATTTGATTACACTGCATGTCACCCTCAGAAGCACTCACTTGGCCTTGAGCAAAGTAACAGTCATTTTAATTTGTAATTTATGAGCTTCCCACAATATTCCTCCTGTTTTGTTGTGGTGCTCTGTAGCGATTCACTCATAGGGAATGGCTTTGCCATGTACAGTACAGGCACAGAACAGATGAGATGAAACATGGATGGTTTATGTGCATCTTCCCCTTTGAGTTGGTCACAGCCAAGTCCATGAATCATCACTGAATCACACCACAGTATGGAAGTTCATTTTTCTCTCAATAGCCATTTTAAGCGCTCTAAATATCTACTCACTAGTTAGTTATTATTGTAAAGCTGTCATTGCCAGTATAATACATCCAGATTACAGTTTCGCTAGAGCCAGAAGCAACAGAATGATATTTTAAGTATGTCTGACGTAAATGGACACCAGTGCAGTAAAGGACTTGTTTTAAATTGTACAGATCACCTCCAAGGCCCTGTGCTCAGCTGTACTCTTACGGCAGTATGATTTGCATCATTTCTCTAAACTTCTCTAAACTAAACTTAGGTGTAAATATCTTTTTTCTGACTGTTAAGACAGTAGGCTCAGCCAACCGTGTCCTAATACAAGGAGCTACTGAAAAAGTAGCATCACAAATAAATAGCTTCACACATTCTGTCAGCCCAAAGTGGGCATGATGAATCAATTCTCCAAGCATCACTCTGGAGGCATTTCTGTTTCAAATAACTTGAGCAGAACTGGGAAATTGTGGAGAACTGTGCTGCATGACGTACAAATTATTCTGGGCAACAGACAGAAAAGTGCCAAACTCCCAGTGATTATTGACAATAAGTCATTGGCAGAGTTTGTATGATTGCTCAGTTCCGTTGCACGTTTGGGGGAATCATAGTAGAATGTGAAGTCAGTCTTTGCTGTGGTTCTTAAATACAATTTAATTTATTCAACTATATATTCCAAGACAATTTTCAAGACATTGCATTTGTTGTGCAAAGGTGTGATAAAAGTTTCCGCAATGCAAATCCACAGAACATATCCCTGTGCAACAGTGTGCTGTCAGAAACACAGCTGCTCTTTGTGCAGTGGGTCGGTAGAGATTATAAACATCCCCATGTTATGGAAGATATCCGTTTGAAAGCGGACTTGTTTGAGGGTCCTTCGAGGATTGCAAAGGAAACTCTGATGCTTGGGCTACTGATCATGGTGCCGCTGTAACATCCAGGTTGTACAACTATAAAACAGGCTGTAGCTGCTTCGTGCTTCTGTTACTTAACACTTCCACTGAAGCCTTGAATTAGAAATTCTACATGTTCATGCTTTGAGTGATCAAAGCCACAACACTGTTGCTGTGGCGCTGCTGGGTGGAATAAGATGCAGGTGCATGCTGTGACATGCGATTCATCATGTGGCAGAGGGTTTTTTTTTTTTTTTGACAATCCGAGAGGCGCACTTTTCAGCACAGTATGTTTTGTCTGTCGATGCTTCCTCCCTCCCTCTCTTTCTCACTCTCTCCCCCTGCATGCATACTGTACAAGTACTCTCCGGCAAAGGTTAATAGACACAGGTTTGGTGCTCTGGGCGCTGCTCATCTCGCCCATTATTCCAAATGTCAGCTGTGTAAATGATCAGCCGTGTCCTTATCATCACATATTATCTGGGTAATTGCTCTCTGACAACCATATTTGTTTTGATGCAGTATTCATACATTGATAGCCTTCCCTGCGATCAATTTAATGCTGTTATTATAGAAACATGCTCCCCGTGTACCTTTGACTTCTAAATGAATGCGTAACACAAAAATTACATGATGAGGCTAGCCGCGGCTCCATTTAATGCTTCTGCTAATATTACTACTCTCTAATGTGTTTTTGGCTGCTTTGGCAGTGTTTTCAAATTAATTTTATGGTTTCTGTAATATGAGGAGCATGCATCCAAACATTTAGTATGTGCTCCGTAAGAAGCTCTCAAATCTTTAACAACACCTCTCTCTCAAGTAAATTAGGCCCTTTAATCATCTGGTTGAAGAGCGTTCGCAATTCTGTGTTCTTTCAGTGAACCCAGGATTTAGGCGTCTGTGTAGTGAGATGCAAGTAGCAGACTTATATTCATTTTCTTGCAGCTGATGCTCGATGACTGACTCGAGTTTGTTCTAAATATAACAATTTATATTAAAGTTCTTTTTTTTTTTTTACATTTGAGCAAATATGCATCATCCGACTGTTCTCTTACATCCTGCCTAGGAAAGCTACAGAGGAGATATATATATATTACAACATATTTAAAATAAAAGTATTTAAAGTGGCATGACAAGACACTGAAAAGAAAGGAGAATCACTGTCCACACAGAAAGATCAGTGGAAGCTGTAGCACTGACCTTACAGGCCCTACGTCTAAATCCAAACGGCTGTTTTTCAAAAGCCAGTACTTGACCCCCCCCTCAACCTTGCTTGTATTTTTAGCTCAGGCTCAGTGCTTGATCCGATCATATTTTTCATTTGCATGCCTCCTCCAGGTCACCCCAAGCAAACACAGATTTATCATTTTCTACCTCTACACAGACAACACACTGATTTATCAGTGCTGTGACCCTGCGAACCTTATTCAAAAAGTTGAATCCTTACAAAAGAGTCTTCACAACATCATAAGTGGGTGTCTCAGAATTTCCAACAGCTAAATAGTGATAAAATGAACACATTAATCATAGCTTCAGACAGTAGAAATATCTCTCCGTAAACCCGCAATGCAGGAATCTTAGCGGCATCTCTTGCTGTAGCCTTTGCTGAAGTAAACACATTAAGTATATGGTTCAAGATTGAATTTTCCAAAAAAACCTGGCAAATGTAATTCACACCTTTAGCACCTGCATCTGTAAATAAACCCAGTTCTTTTTATTCATTTACATTTCCCCTTCAGGTCATCATATTCACAGACCTAATAGTCATGTCCACTTATATGCAGATGATACCATGGTTTACCTCTGTTTCTTTTTTTTAATCAAACACTGGTTTACTGATCCAATGATAACTGTCTTTGCTAACTACTAATAAAAAACTATTACTACTAATAAAAAAGTAAAATTTACCAAAATAGAACAAACTAAATATTCTCTGATATGAAATAAATAAGATGCGGCATTTAAAATAATTACATGTGCAAAAGGTTTTTTACTATTAATGGTTAAACAGCAAATGCATTGAAGAAGTTGTGAACACCTGTAGCTGTTGTTTGTTTATAACAGACAGCAATAAGTTGCTGTCCTGTGGGGGAGAAATGTGGATTTCCAAATTGATTTCTGTATACACAAAATAGTTCAGCACGGGCAGCAGCTACATTTTCAGTACTAATACATGTACCATTACACTGCTATATAATGTCTTTCTCTACCTTTATTATTTTCTTGCTGCCTTTCTGGCTCTGGATGTCGATAATCTGTTTAATTTGTTACAGTTTTAGCCTGTTACATATAATATATTTTTATATAATTCAGTGTTCCAAGTGATGTGTTTTACATGCTTCAATATCGAGCAGATGTTCCCATGTTGTATAGTCCTTTAAATGCCCCAGTGCCTTTCATGCTACAGTCCTTAACCACACCCACCCATCCTTGCGTCGCCGTGGAGAGGCCAGTGTGGAGGGAGTCCTCAACCAGCTGGTCCTGGAGCACCTTCAGCTCGCTCCTCTGCAGTGGGGTGAGTCTCTTATGTGTGGCATGATGGGATGTGATCACTCACACCACCGTCACGGTTGGAAGTTTGTGAACGCGATGCAAGACGTCATATTTTTCCAGTGAAGAATGAAGTGAATGAAAAGAGAGAAAAAAAAAAGTTTTACCCACATTGTGACAACAGTTCTCTGTGGATTTTGGTGTACCATCCATCTTCATGTTGAAATGAAGTCTCCTTTTTATGTTTGCTATCAACATGTTTGTGTGCCAATCACAGTTATCGAGGTGGTTGCATGGCTATCTCTTCACCTGCCAGTTAGTGCATAAACGTACAGTGCTGGTCTCAAGCCATGTTTTTTATTTGCATTCATAATGGCCTACAGGCTATTTTGGAGAAGTGTAGACAGCAGCTTGGGAAATGTGTGAATCACTGGGGACATGCAGAATTTGTAGGAGCACTCTTCGGTCGCACCATCTGTGATCATCCTCTGAAATCACTTTTGATTTACTGCGGGTGTTTGTTTTCTGAGATTCCTGGCCTCTCTTTGGGCACTGCCAGCATTTTGATTAGTCAGCTGGGGCTGTCCTGCTTTTGCAAAGAGAAAGCAATCTGCGAAATGAAGCGACACAACAGATCAAGCATGGAAATGCAAGAATCTATTGGGACATAAATGGGGGGGGGCGGGGGGATCAAGAGCAAATACTTCACTGGATTCACTGTTCTCCAGATATTTTGGCATTTGACATACATTTCCTTCAGTTAAATAGCATTCCCTGGAACAAAGCTTTTGTAAAGATGTTTGACATGCACCCCTCATTAGACTGATGCATGACGTGTGCATTCTCAGTGCAGACTTTGGCAGTGGCTGCTATTTCCTCATGTCTTCATTTCTGCAAAGGTAGTTATGCAGTTCAAGCTTAAGCCTTTGCAAGGCTTGCTGATTGTGAGCCAGATAATTTGCCTCAGCCCATTAGGATGCCTTTATCAGGGTTGCCAAGACTATCACAGGCTCAATTACGGGTATAGTTCAACCATTTCCCCAGTGTCTAAAATCGTTAGTCCAATTGGATGCTTTTAATGCAGTTGTTGCTCTGTAAGCCTCACACTGTCGGAGCCGCTGTAGATGAATGTAACTTGCTTGTCAAAAATCCCCACTGTAGTTGTGTTTAATTGCTGTGATGTTCGTCCCAAGAGATTTCAGTTGTGTTGATGCAATTTGTCTTGTCTCAGATTGTAACAGGACAACAGTGCATTTTAAACTCACCTTTAATAACGTAGTCATTACTCCTGATTGTTGAGTCAACCTCCTTCCACTCATTTTAAACTATTGCAGCTCTAAAAATCAGACCGTGTTTACCTTTTCTTTATTAAAAAAAAAAAGCAAAAGCTGTGGACCTAATGAAAATGATAATCTACCATCAGCAATCTCCACACTGATGCACCTCATCATTTTTTTTTCTATTAGTTTGTAAACTAGTTTAACTCATCCAGGAGGGCTAGACTCTATCTCAAAGGTGCTTTAATCAAGCTCTCACTCCTCAAGTAAAAACATTTTGTTATTAATCCTAAGCGCTGTCATCTTGCCAACTCCACTGCACATTTCATGCAACTTTCTCTTCCCATTGCTAATTTTCAAAATTTGGTACAAGAGACAACTTCCGAGCAGCAACCTGCACACTGAAAACAATAAGTTTTGAATAAGATTTGGATCGTGCAAGAAGGGAGGCCTGCTTGGTTCTTTCAGTTAATTTGCCATTTTCGTGACTGCTCACCTCCCTGCACCCATATATATGTAAAATTATGTTGAAGTGCAGCCACACCAGTCTGAAAAGATAGACTCATCATTACAAGACCATTCCAAGATGTCCTTAATTTTCTAGTCACAAATGCTGTAATAACTTCTTTATTTGTATTGTGTTGGATGCTTTTTTTTCCCCATTTGTCTTAAAGTGGTTGCAGAAAGTGATCACCTAAACAAATGTAATGTCCTTGCCCACAAGAAATGTCAAGTAAACATAGAGTTCACGAGATATTATCACACAGCTGATGTGAAATGGCAGCACAAGATTTGTGCTGTTTGAAAATCAAATTGTTCTGTACGTCATGACAGTCAAGATGAGTGGATTTTATGTTGAGCGCTTCTCTGAAACATTAGGTACATTTTTAGCAAATTCAAATGGGGTTGTCTGTCAGTAATCATCTTCTGAAGGTGCCAAAGTCTGTCTTGGGAGTCATTTCCTTCCCTGTGCCACCCCACGATAGCAATGTTAGTTCTGTTCCATGGCATCCAGCAGTCAAAAAGCCTGAGGAGAATAATGCATTTCTTTGGCAATATTTTGAACACTGGAGTGCAGTGTCTGTGTGCTGAGCAGCTCAACGATAAAACGGGCATGAACATATATGCACGGCCTGCACGGAGATAAATTATTGACGAGGACCTTTGCTGCTCACTGTCTGCGTGTTCAGTTTAGAATCACGCATGCATTAAAAATAAAGATGCAGAACTGAGTCCAGCATTTTGTGTTACGTGCAGCCTGTTTGAGTGGATTTGTAAACAGTGCAGGTCCACTCGTGCCATTGGCTGCGTGGATGGTTCCTTAGCTAATTGAGGAAATCCTTCAGCACCACTTGGACAGTCAACATCCATCTGGCAAGTATACATTACATTTTTTGGAGGATCATCATTCTGTGAAGGACCATCATTTCCTGCTTTTCTACACAATCGTAATCGCTTCCAGGTCAGCTTTCAATCAGAGTACTTGAGCACACGGCGTCCTTCTTGACAAGTAGCGTAAGAAGCCTAACATGTAACCGTGAGAGTGGCTCGAATGAGAATCGAAACATTTGTCGCCCTGTTATCTGATATCTAAATTGGAGGAAACTATCATGTGTTTCTTTTTTTCAGTACACAGGGGCGTCCTATAATTTCAATGAGATGTAGTGAGAATGGTCAGCTTTATTAGCACCGGGAAAAGGAGAGCATCGCTGGAGGCCAATAAAAATGTCTGTCATAATAAAAAAAAAATCAAGATGCAGACATTTAAAAAACAAACTCAGAAGCGCATGGTAGTTAAAAAAAATATATTAAAAAAATGGATAAAATTAAAAAAGTTAACCGTGTGTGACAGGCTGTAGTTACTAGACAGAGGCTCTGTCATCGCTGCCTGAGCCGAGCCAGCTGTGTGCCATGAGAAACTTGATGCCTCTTTATGATTTGCTACCATAGAAATCCATGAATATTTGATCACACAGGTTCCAGTAAATGGAGAACATGGAAAGTGCCAGAATCTGTTTTATGGCTCTCTGTTTGTTTACAAGCTCATTATTATTATTCAATGGGGAGCAAACAGAGGCCATTAGTAAATGATTCTACCTCTGGGCAGAATCAGTCCCACAGTCATGTCAGCAGTGCTGCAATAAAGTGAGATCATATATGATGAAATTCACAACGATATTACGAATGAATAATGCAAGTATGTTTTTTTTATAATTAGTTGTTATCATCTTGCTACTGCTGAGTTTCGTTTTCTGAGGTTCAGTGAAATAACTGTAATTCACTGAGTGGGCCAGAAGGTAAAGCCGATTACTTTTATGTTTATGTCGTAAGCCTTCCTTGAAAGAAGAGAAAAATAACAACTTGTATGGTAAACACAAACACAAATGAGTGGGCTGTATTTTCTTTGTGCCGTCTAGAGTCTCTTACAGAGCTTTTACCACTTAAAATATGTGGACAGCTTAGACATTATTTTATGCCTCTTTGTTTGACTTCACAGAAGGTGTGATTCTTCAACGCCGGCTGTTATGTTTTTTATCTATTTTTGGGGGTTGGGAGGGACAAGATGACATCAACACACTGCTGTGTCTTCAGTCCACCAGGCACATTTACAGCATAATTATTTTATAGACATGTTATATAGACCTTGAAAAACCCTGTAAATATGATTGATTATACCAAAGACTACCGCAGTTGGAATTGATATGAGGTCGGATTGATATGTTCCTTTTTGAATGTGAGTACTAATTTCAAAAGGTTCCCGCTGAGTTTCTGTGCATTTCATAGTCATTTAATTTTCTGCTCCAGCAGTCTGTCATTCTGTCACAGATCCTGGAAAACAAGTCCACTAAACTGTACACACAAGCTATGGATTTCATAGCGCTGCTGAAAGGGGGAGAGGCTCTTTACAGCCTTAATGTCAGCAGAGCAGCCTTGGAGAATCTCAGCTATTGTTTTGTTTTTTATTATTATTATTTTATTTTTTTTCACAAGGCTGCTGGCTGACTGGTTTAATTATCTGTGACAAAAATGTTATTGTGCTTCCAAAAACTATGAGGAGTACTTGTCATCCTTTAAATTGGAGAACTCAGAGGAAAAAAGTTTGGTAGGGGGGCTACGGGATGGAACGCTCTCAATTAGATGACATGGATATCCATGCTAATGTTTCATGGGAAATATTTTTATCAAGATCCTATCGAACCACACGTTTCCTTATTGTCTCTATTACAGTCCATGATAGACGGTAGATTGTTGACATAATGCAGCAGGGTGGCAGAAGTTAGTTTAACCAAAGTGAACTACAAGGTTTTGGTGTATGTAAATGTGTCGAGAAATAATTTTTTCAAAGTTGATATTGTCAGGTCCAGTCATATGGATGTGGTCAGATGGACTTGTGGGGGTGTTCTGGGGTATCTGAGATGCCAGCAGTGAATCCTTGGGACCCTTTTCGTTATGGTTTGGAGTCTATATGTTTGTTTGATGAATCCCACAGATGCTCGATGAGGTTGGGATGTTGGGAATTCGAAGGTCGGGTAAATACCTTGGGCTGCTTGTTGTGTTGGTCGAGCTGTTTCTGAGCTGAGTGTGTGTTTGGTCTGCAACATAGCTGAGGTGGGTGTCAAAGTAACAATGAGACGGTTACCAGGACCAAAGGTTTTCCAGCAGAACACTGCGTTGTAATGAGATGACCAGGGTTGTCAACCTGTCAGTGGTTTTAATGTTGTGGCTCATCAGTGTGCAGTAATTAAAC